TGCTTACTTAGAATATGTGGTTATGATATTTGTTACAAATACGATAGTTAAATTATGTTTTCACAAAAGAAAAATATAATTATCGAGAAATTAATAGATTTCTATAAAAAAAAAAGTACTCAGTCTACATGTTTATTTGGAAAATATGGTGCTCGAGGAAAAATAAGGAGATTAAAAAGTCTTTATTGTTGTCAGTCAAACTATCATAGTTACACGTATTTTGTAGAAAATCGATGTCGACAAAAATTTCCATAAACAAACAATTAAAACTAATCAAATGGTAAACCAAGGAACATAAACATTTGGAGTTGTTCAAGGTGACTAAAAATGAAATAAAACAAGTTGACGTAATGGGACAAAAGACAAGAGTGTCCTCGACTAACCCCACGTGTATGCGGATTTAGGCAGGGAAACTTTTTTGTTGCATATCCAATTAGAGAAATTATTGAAGGCTATTAGTTAAATAATCGCCACGTTTTACTTTCGAAAAAATAGCAATAAAATTTATGAAGTGTTTTTTTTTATTTTCTTTATTTTCTAACTTTCATTTTTTAAGTCGATTCTTTATATTTTCTTCTTTAAATTTTTTTTTTTAGATATATCTATTTTGTAAATAATATAATATAAGAATTTTTGAAACCAAGAGGTAATTAAAAACATTGAATTTTACTTAATCGCTAATAAAATTATTAGTATATACGAAATGTAAATTTTTCTAAATATAAGAATATATCGTAATGAAATTTCTATTATATATATATGTATTTCTTACTTAGAATATGTGGTTATGATATTTGTTACAAATACGATAAGTAAATTATGTTTTCACAAAAGAAAAATACAATTATCAAGAAATTAATAGATGGTTATAAAAAAAAAGTACTAAGTCTACATGTTTATTTGGAAAATGTGGTGCTCGAGAAAAAATAAAAAGATTAAAAGGTCTTTATTGTTGTCAGTCAGACTATCATAGTTACACGTATTTTTATAGAAAATCGATGTCGACAAAAATTTCTATAAACAAAGAATCGAAACTAATCAAATAGTAAACAAAGGAACATGAACATTTGAAGTTGTTCATGGTGACTAAAAAGGAAATAAAACAAGTTGACGTAATGGGACAAAAGATAAGAGTGTCCTCGACTAACCCCACGTGTATACAGATTTAGGCGGGAAAAAATAATTGTTGTGTATCTTATTAGAGATATTATAGAAAGCTATTAGTTAAATAATCGCCACGTTTTACAATTGAAAATAGCTATAAAATTTATAAAGTGTTTTTTTATTTTTTTTATTTTCTAACTTTCATTTTTTTTAAGTCGAGTTTTTATATTTTCTTCTTTCCAATTTTTTAATAAATATATGTATTTTTGAAAAGAATATAATATATGAATAATTGAAACTAAGAGGTAATTAAAAACATTTAATTTTGCTTAATCACTAAAAAAATTATGGAAAAATTGTAAAAATACCACTTAGGGGTGTTCATTTGCAAAAATACCACTAATTATAGATTTTTAAAGAGAAATTAGGTACTATATTAGTCTTGTTACCTATAATTAATTATTTAACACTATCTAAAACATAATGTAGTATCTAACAATTATTATACACAAACTTCCAATTTTATCGTTACTAACTTATCAAGTGTTTTTGGTTTTACTTTAAAACAAAAAAAAGTTGACAACTTAACCTAACGTACGCAGCAACCAACC